TGATGATGATGATGATGATGATTGATGTTATGTTAAGCACCAAAGTTATGAGATAAAGTGCTTAATAGAAAAGGGGAATAAGGGACAACGAACCACAGAGTACTCACCAACCGAGGTTGATGATGATGATGATGTTAAGCACCAAAGTTATGAGATAAAGTGCTTAATAGAAAAGGGGAATAAGGGACAACGAACCACAGAGTACTCACCATGTTCACCGAGGTTGGGCGAGTCGGTATTGGTAAGCTGCACGTCGTCCAGTGCACTCGAGTCGAGCGATACCGAATCGACTTCGCTCACACGGCGTTCGAATCTGTCCGGATAGTCATCAGTTTGGTCATTCCTCACATGGTTCACGGATTCCGCAGGGTCTTTTAGACCACAGCAACAGAAGACATCAAATCGGTTGGCCTGGTTTTTTGAAAACACACAACAAACAGAACAGGGCAAAGTAGGGTTGGTCACCGTGAACGCTGAAAATCGGTACAAACAGGTAACTTTTTAAAACAGCCCAGCAATGAATTATTAGCGCCAATCGTATTGGCTGTAACACCTTTTGGATGTGTATAACTGCCTACCACCTGAAAACAGCACTAGGACTGAGATACTGCCAGGCCTAGACAGAAGCAGCCGAAATGCAGAGGTTGGGTTCGAACCACAGATTTTTCCGCTCCGCTCTCTCAAACTCAACAGGATGATTGGAAACATCATTTGGAAAGCGTGTGGAGGTGATCGATAAAACAGCCTATGCAAAAAGGTTTGTGTTATATCTGCTGATTCGCCAATGTGAGGTATCTGCTGCTGACCCGCTTCAGTGCCTAGTGCCGGAGAAAAAAGACTCACAGAAGGAAACTCAACAGCCGTATTCCGAAAAAGCGAGTGCGAGAGCGCGAGTGCAAAAGTACAACTTTCTCAAGCTATTTATTGGAAGGACACTGTCTGAACTTGGTCCAATGCTGACGCACGCGGTCTGGCTTTGGTACGAGGCTGTGACGAGCTGCATATTGCGGGGCCATTGCCTGATCAACGCTGACTCGTGCTGTCTGGGTTTGATACAAGGCTGTGGAGGGGGCGTTGTCTGTCTAGTCAACATCTGGCGGAGCTAAGAGACTGCGGGAATTCAGCGGTTGCTCTCAGGAATGTGACCTTGCTGATAGTTTGATAAACAACGGGTGAAACGACCGCTGGACAACGTGTCGTCTTTGCCACACAATCAACGAAGTGAATCAGTTACCAGCCCAATTTCAAGGCAAACGGAGAACCAAAAAGGGTGAGAGTTCGTTTTCGAAAAAGTTTGGTGACAATCGGTAGATTTATTGCTGGGCAACGTTTCGCTTTTGACCCAAACGCTTCGTCAGGCCAAGCGACTGGGTTCCGAGGTTGGTCGAGATTTGAGGCGGAGGGAGAACCAATCAGCTAAGTCAACCTAAATCTCTGTTGGGTGTCGGCCGAGGGAATTTTAGTGTGTTAGAGTGGTTGAACAAGTGCTGGGTCGGTGGGGAAACCTACATGTGTTTGGGTTCAGCCTAGGATCTAGTTCTTCTGGTTCGGTTCATTTGACGGCCCTCTTGGACGTCGTTTGAACTTTCTGTCCGTGTGTGTGGATGAGCTAGTGCTAAGAAAGTTGCGTAAGAGGGATGCTGTGACCTTTCGTCGGGTTGGGATTCCCACCCCCACCCCCGGGTTTGCTAATGATTCTACGTGGACTGAGAACCACACAGTCACGTGCCAACTCGGCTTATCTAAGACCGCTTTCCATACTCTCGCTAGCTCCACACCCTCGATTCTATTCACGCTGTGATGCTTAGTAATTTCAACAGACTCGGCTATCAGCCGCTGTGGTGTGAATCGCAGTCCCCGTCTTAAAACTTCCACATTCCCCAGATCTATTCTATGTCCCGTGTCTAAGGCATGTACCGCCATCACTGAGTCTTTGAACAGCGTTTGGTATTCTTCTACATTCCTTGTGGTTTGTTAATCCTTCTTTTATGTTCACCACTTCTGGTGTGCAATTCCCTGGCAGTTTGTCCTTAGCGCAATCGTTGCAGTTAATTTTATACACACAGTCCCTAGTCCTTTCAACCGGCAGGGGAACTTTCAATTGCCCCCAACTAGCAGATCAAGACAGAGCTGCATGTTGGGGAAGAGTTATTTACTATCCTATGCTAAGGCAATGATCTCAAAGCAAGAAATTGGTTAATTAGTTGTCCCATCTGACAGGTAACGTGTAGTCTAACTCATCGACGAACAGTCCGTAATAGTTGCGGCGAAACCGAATTCTACGAACTTCACCTGCGTTTGCTCAGTAGTCGCCATTGGGTAGTGAACAATATATTGAATTGGACGTGGGCAGATAGTATAGAGAGGCAGAATGTGAGTCTATAAGAAATTAACCGTAAATCTTGAGGAGAACTAAGGAAAAGCTTACAGCTAGATTAGACCTTGGGCAGTTAGCAACACAGGATGGCACACGAAGGGCAGTGTGCTTTCGGACAAGTTTAACGGGAAAAATGTTGTTCAGTTCAAAGTGAGACAAACCCAGAAATGAATGTGAACAAATCATCTACAGAAAAACGGTTGAGGCAAGTCGACTTTTGTAAACATAGAACCAGTACAGTCTTGAAACTTGAGCAGTCACCGGAAGGGGTAATGAATTAGCCTGAGGAATAGGGAAACAAATAATTACGCAGCCACGTAATTAACAGGTTCTTATAGCTAATGAGACGTCCGGAACATGGAGCAGGGGAAAGATTCATTGAGATAGGGCTTGGAGACTTGTTCTTCCGATTCAGGGCACTGAACATTTTCTACTCGGGTACCGTTGGTCTATGTGGGTCACTAGACGTTGGGACAGTTGGGTTGTGGGGAATAGGTGGATGTTTGTCGAGAGAGAACAACCGAGTAATTGGGTAATAGCAACTCACCGCACGTCTCCGGGCGTCCAGTGTGAACAGAGCGACGAAGGCGAACAGTTGAAGGAGCAAATTGAACAAAATTGCAACGCCCGCATACAGAGCGAACACCCGCACGGCAGGCATGCTGGTGAGTGAGCCTGCATGGCAAGTCGATGAGGACAACGGAAGAGAAACAAACAGCCGGTAAATCGGAATAAGTATGAATGAAGTTCAGACAGAGGTAAACGATGCTATGAGATTCCGACCCCCCCCCCCAACGACAATGAGTGTAGTAAGTTCCTCGATGACCGACAAAGGTCTTGATTTCACACAGCAATTAAAAGTGAGATCAAAACTGTTGAGTGGAATCCCACACAAAAACCGCTTACAGTTAGGTGCTGCTAAGATAAAGAAGCCTAATCCGTGAATGACCGGCCAGAAGGTTGGGTCACTTGCTGGTCCAGCATAAAGACAAGCTCTGATTGACGGAATGTGTGGGCTTGTAGCTACCCTGTCACCCACACACTTGACTGTTCAGCTCACAGTCGCTCACTGGATCACGAGGCTGATCTTTTTTCATACTCACAAACCACGTCACATCAAGCTGACTCATCGGACATCGATTGTCTGTATCGTCTAGTTAGCGTAGCAACTACTCATGTGCTGACGGGCCCAAGTACACGCAAACGGACCTACACATACGGAAACCGAACACAGTCAACACGCAGGGAGCAGGAAGTCAACCGCTCTCCACAAATCCACGGACAATTATGGAACAGATGTAGCGGCCAAACTGCGGAGAAAACATGTTCCCGCCATCCGGACTTTCAGCAAGGGACTCTCTCATACGATAAGTTCCTTTTTTTGACTTGCTCCCATTTTCGCATTGTATTTATTTTCATACGTGTTGCAACCCACCACTGTCAAACTTGCTAAAAGCTTTTATTAGTGCATACACCTTTTGTTTTGTATTATGGTCATCATCAACAGTGCACTATCAGACTCAACAGCCAATCATTATTCCGTATCCGCAGAAAGACGATTACCAATGGCGCATCCAGAAGGCGTTGGAATATTGTCGCTGCACATACTTTAAATACGGCGCGCGGTGCATGTGTTTTTTTGATCCGTGGTCTTGGAAGTTTAACACGCTGGGTGCATATTTGTTGGTTCTTCTCCTGAAAACGCTAGCTTCGAAGGTTCAGACCGACAACTGAGCTGAAGCATCTCCGTTATTAAAAAAAACCTGAGCATTCGGATAACTAATTTGCCTGCAATCTAGTCGTGTGCATACTATCGAACCAATCCGAGTGAGGCCATGCAATCACGTGACGGTCAGTGCACGATCCGAATGGACATTCAACCGACCAATCACCGATCAATTCAGTGGATTATGGACACAGCTGATCAGTCTGAACGACAACATAAAGGCGATTGGTTGATTGGTCCCACGACGAATAGTCGGTGTGCACATGAATGATGTTTACGAAATAGTGGTTGGAGGCGGAGGGTACGGACAACAACAGTTCTACACGTTACATGTGTTGAAAACGGTCGATAGATAAGAAGGTGCGTGTAGGTAAGGTGGAACACACATGCGATGCAACACGATGATTTATGCTGCGGCAAACATGGCAGCTTGATGCCGAAACCAGCTGGAGCAGAATGCTCCATCATCAGGTCTGGCAGATTCTCACTTTGAAGTCAAAAAAGACAAACAGAACCGTCACTTCATCATCATCATCATCGACAGCATGACATCGGTGTTCAACACCGATGCCTCACTGCCGTACAACCATCATTTTATTTGAAAGCCTTATTGTACAGAAAAGAGTAAAGGTGGATGGGGAGGGGAATTAGTGCTAGCTTACCACAATCATTCCGTGGTGCCTACACCTTCAGACATTCACTCAAGCGATCTGGATAGAAACTGACAACAAGAACGCCACTGACATCGGTTGGCAGCCATATCTTGTAGTGTTTCCGACCAGGCACACTGAGGATCACGCGGTCCCCATCCTAGAAGGTGAGTAGCACCGACAGCACAATGGAAGTACCCGTTGCACAACCGAAAACGCGCTTTCTAACCGCCTCGTTACGGATTCGCCGACACCAACCCACACGAGCTATGGTTCTGAGAGAACGACTGTTGAACACCTGAGGACGTCTCAGTTACGCTGTTCGAATAGACCAAGTCTCACAGCCATACAACAAAACAACCCGTACTGTAGCTTGATACACACGTCCCTTCAGATTCAGGGATAAACCATTCTGACGCCATAGGTGTCTCAAGTTAGCAAACGCGGCCCGAGCCTTGCAGATTTGTGCATTCACCTCATCTGTTAAACTACAATCAGAACTAATACAACTTCCAAGATACGCAAAACGCTCCACAACTTTCAGTACCCCTCCCTGGTTTGTAAGTGGCGTGTTCAGTGACTGCACATCCACCAGCATGACCTTACACTTAGAGGAAGTATCCCGTTGGTTAGGTTCGAAAAGGTAGAACAAAATATGAGCACTAGAACGTTAACTTGAGGGTAATTCATCGACAGTCCAGGGAAAATATTGCACGAGGCAATATGGCCGAAACGTTTCTTCAAGCGAGGCAAAACCAACCACTTCGCCAGTTCATTCATTCACTTGCCACCAACAGCACAACAGCAGTGTTCAATAATGATGCTTCGCTGCCCACCTCGGTGCTCTGGCCACAAAGAACTAGCAAACGATGATTCGACATCCTGGATACATTGATCGATGTCCCGGTTACACAACCGAACACTCATTTTCCACGTGTCTCATTGCGAATCCGCCGACAATAACGTACAAAAACTGAGGTTCTCAGACATCGGTTGTCGAAAACCTGAAGACGTCCCAGTTCCACTGCCAGAAGAGGCCAAGTCTAGCAGCCATACAACAAAATAACCTGATGCACAGGTCCCTTGAGATTCGGGAATATGCCGCTTTGACAATATCGATGTCTCAAACTAACAAACGCGACCTGGGCCTTAAAGATTGATGTATTGACTACCACGATAGGTAAAGCGCTCCACAAATTTTATGCGTCTCTATGTAGATTGTACGCGGTGTCTCTGGTGAGTGTATATCCAGGAACGTGGTCCTAAACCTTGAGGGAGTAACTTTGGCGAGCTGGTCAGAAACACATTTACTATGGGGGAACGATGTCTACCTATTCTAGATTTCTTCAGCAGCTGTTTGAACCACAGGGTGCTGAAAACCTTCCGGTGTTCGAGATGAGCACGATGTCGTCTGCATATTTCAGATCGACAAGGTTTTCATTACGGGGTTTTGGATCACGAAACTAAATGGGAATAGAGAAATTGGGCATTCCTGAAGGACACCGTCTTGTGTACGGAAGGTTTTGGAGGGCTCTTCGTATACCCTCACACGTCCGGAAGTCTGAGAATACAAAGAACGTACTATGTTCCTTGGTGGGCAAGCGTGTCAAAAAGAAAACACCGGTCAACCGAGTCAAATGCGCCTTGGAAATCCAAGAATACCAAAATAAGTGGGTCGTTTATACGTAGGACGTTGTTCCAATACCTGGCAGGTCGCTTTTGTTAGTTTGAGACATCGATATTGTCAAAGCGGCATATCCCTGACACTCAAAGGGCTGCGCATCAGGTTTTGTTGTATAGCTGCTGGCTTTGGCCTCTCCCGGCAGTGGAACTAAGACGCCTTCAGGTTTTTGACACCCGATGTCTGAGAACCACAGCTTCTGTTCGTTATTGTCGGCGGATCTGCAATGAGACAATTGGGGAATGAGAGTTCGGTCGGCCAATGTGACACCTACCATGCCAGAATCCCAGTGAACTACTTTCGAGTCCATAATTCACGGATTACGACGAAGGACAAGTGACGCGAACAAACTTGTTACGACTCGAGTGAAACTAGCCTCTCCGTGACTATGACACTCACTACAGATCTCCATTTCGAAAATAGGTGCTTTTAGCACAAAGAAAACTACTCACAAGGTTGCTAAAAACTCTTCGACAGCCCACGACCAGTTTCGCCCTTCTTGGGGCTCATCAGGTAGGCGCAGTCCCCGAGTTTCCGTCAACCTTATGTTCTACTTGAACTATTAGCAGTTGCCCACAGGACAGCTTTTACCTCCTAGATGACAGTAAGCAGATCGATCAGCCATTAGGGCAAAGACGATTCGGAATGCGGCCTGCAACAAAGGACAAGTGTACACAACACATGGTTGGTCATTCTGCCCAAACCCCAACCGGTCTCTCAGTTGACTGTGTGACTAGCCGGAACAAACAGCTGACCAATGAGCCAGTGTTCCAGTTACAATGGCAAAAGTATACGAAGGAAAGGAGCAGCGTCCACGCAAGGACTGACGATCAATCGTAACATACGACCTCAATCACTGGTTTTGTTTCTATCTGAGTGACACTACACGGAGGTGAGGTGCTTCCAGTTCGATACTGCGAGAGAAAAAACAACTTTCGGGGCACTTCTTAAGTGGACTTTGTAAAGAGGGAGTCGAGGATTCACCAGAAAAATTGAAACAGTCAGAAAAACGTCTTTCCGAAAAAAGGCAAAGGGGGTGAGATACTGGGAGGCATCCCAGGTCTGGAAAAAAGCTGTCGACCTCTCTGAGTGGTTCAACGACTTTCGAACCAAGTCGAGTGTTGATACCTCCGAATGAGTTCATACGTTTGGAACGCACCAAGTTGAAACCATACGTTTGAGCAGATACAAAAACCACTCACCGTGGTATTGATCGAACCGACGAACGGCACCGGGTGCAATTAGGGTCGCACACGCGAGCAGCGTGTGCTGAAGGTTACTAAATTTAGAACTGACGTGTACACCCTAATGCTCACACAAGATTGAGGGTGCGGGGGGTTGTGCAGATCACAAAGATGGTGAATACTGATAAACGCTACCCACATTATTGCAGCTGGTGTTGAAGGATGTCAGAACTCTTTATGAGCGTTTGTGGCATCGAGAAGGATGGATTTCTTTGTTAGTAGCGGTTACAGGGTGAGTTCTCAGACGAATTCTGCCGAGTTTTTGGTCTCCCTCATAACTAGGTCAACAAGATCGACTCCCTTGCGTTTGGAAACGTTGCTTACCACGATGGGAAAACTAAGGTTGCTTGAGAGGACACCAAAAACCGTAAGTTTCGATGAAAAAAAGTAGCTTACCAAAGAAAAACGCCACCGACTCCGTCAAACTAGACAGCAGCAAAGACGGTCCAACGCGACCCAGGGTACGAGACATCCGGGCTTCAACCAAGCCTTTGATCGTCGGAGCCATTTCACTCGTGGATGCGATGACAACATCTTCACTTACAACAGGTTGTCCGTTGTGACGAACGCCTGACCGGTTCAGACGAACAGAACTGACCCGAAGCGCTTCGATTCGCAACAGCTTGTCTGCATCTAGCTCGTCAAATTCGAAATCATGAACTAGAATGAAGATGTTGTCCACTCCGACAGCTAAGACCAAAAACGGGATCACCTCGATGATGATCAGCGTCGCGGGTTTTCCCGCGTAGCTCCACAGGCCAACTGAGGCCACAACCGAGAGGATGACGATGAGGACGCCGCCAAGACCCAGAGTGACTCGAAGATCCACCTGGTCGATAACAGCCAAAAAGCCAAGTAGAAAGTGACAAACACAATCCACCTTCGACAGAAAAGACTGACTGCGATGAGCCGGAAGTCATCACGATGAGGAACTAGGAACCTGGATACGTTGAAGCCTGCAAAGGACTAATCCATTCTACAAGCTAGCTAGATTCTAACATTTTAGATGCAAAATGACCGTAGAGGAGGTCAAGACAGGCTTCTCAAAGAAATTAGCAGGCAGAACGGGACCCAGTCTCTAGCCAAAATAGGAGGTACGGCACATGCTACAGCAAAAGCGTTTGGAAGTGTACCGAAATGTTAGTGACTCGGATCCGTTAATTGGTGGCTGACCTTGGTGGTTGATTTGCAAACGTGGCCGTCGTCAACAGGAGATACTCAAAGAACCAATCGAATGCAAGGAGTATGGAGCACAACGCAACACGATTCGAAGCGAACCAATGGGACTCTAAGAGAGAGGTGTGTTTCAGTTAACCGATCACTGCAATAGATATCAACTGGTCTCTGAAAACCACATAAACTTAGGTAAGTGAGGAGGAATTACCCAACAAGCGGTGTACTGATGACGTCACCTCGATTAGTAACGAAACGTTCGCAAGCTAATTGCCAAGCTCGGTGAACAGATGAACGGCTATCTGCTTTAACGGTGTTGCCCCCGGCGGTGTAGAAAATAGGCGAAAAGGTGAAGAAATCTGTCAAAATCTACGTATGAAACAAGCAATAGCAATCGTGATACAACAGAGAGAGCTCCCTCAGGAAAGTTCACTTTCAGTTGGCTATTTCTGATTGGTCAGAAAAGGCCTCTGTGCTTGAGGTCGTCCGACTGAGACAAAACAGCTGATTTAAAAGGGTCATGTGATCCATCCATCTATGCTCATCTGGCGAGGATGGTTGACATTTTATGTGTTAACTCTTAGCAGTTACGTGTCATCCAGCAAATATGAAATTATACAAACGGAGCAGCCAGGCGACTACAGACAGAAAGCCGAGTTACCTCCTGAAGTTAATGGAACAAGAAACACCGAATCGGAGGGTCAACATGCAAGGAAGTGTACTGCTGAAATTCACGTCGAAGGATAACCTGAAAATGGACCCTTCCAAGAAGATTGCTCCTTCGGAGGGCGGCAACTGTACCAGGAGTCGAAGCTTCTTAGCCTTGCGTGACAAAGGTCCAATGGACAAGAACGAGGTAACTGAAAACGGAAGACTTACAAAAACCGTCCGACAACTTCGGTAGGATGCCAAGAAAATGCTGACGTAGACGAACATGACCAGGTAACTGATCCCCACGGTAAAAACATCAGCATCTGACTGGCGGTTGATCTCATCCTCGACAGACCGCTACAAGGGGGGGAAGTAGGGTATGAGTAAAAACACCATGGGGTGAGCCGAGAAAATAATCGAGTCGGGTGAACTTGTTGACCAGACAACAACATCAATGGGTCACCACAATGGACTGAAACTGGTGTTAAGTGGGATATGCCTAATGGGAAGTGGGGGGATCGCTTGGGCACAGAACCATATCGATGGATAGCCACCGTGCAACTCGAAGGAAGCACGGACTCTGAGATATTCTCGGTGGGAGCAGTTAACCAGTCCTAACGTATCTCGAGCTCATGGCCGGAGCGCCCCTCCAACGCCACAGGATGTAACACGGTGAGCTGACGGGCCTGGAGGTATAGTATAACTTGCTCCAGTTGCCTCTAGCAGTGAAGTAAAGATGTCTAACCTTGAAAATCCTGCACGCCACGAGCTGGACTGGAGCCAGTGTGCAACGGGTACTTTCATCGGAGGATGTGTCCAGAACCAGAAGCTGCGTTGGTTGGGATATGTGTTGCGTATGCCGAACCATCGTTTGCCGAAGAGAGTGCTGTTTTCCATGCCCAACTCAGAGTGGCATAAACAGAGAGGTGGCCAACCCATGACCTGGCAGAGGAGTATGAAGGAGATCACGAAACCCTTGCGTGCTGTTGGTGCTACTCGCCTTCCGGGATGGGAACCGCGTAATCCTCACTGTGCCTGGTTGGAGACACTAGAAGATACGGCCGCCAACCGATGTCAGTGTTCATCCAGATTGCCTGATTGAATGTCTGGAGGTGTAGGCACCTCGGAGTGATTGTGGTAAGTTAGCACCAACTCCCTTACCCTTCCACCTTTACTCTTTTCTTTACAATAAGGCTTTCAAATAAATCATGGTTGCACGGCAGTGAAGCATCGGTGTTGAATACTGATGTCATGCTGTCGATGGGCAGCAGAGTTCCCAAAGACGAACAGGGTAGCACCAACGACACCATGGATATGAGAACATTGGCAGCCTTGAGGAATCTTCTTGCTGCCTTCACATTCCAAGTGTAGCGGACAGCGCGACCTTCACTTCGTCTCACTTCCCAGCAATACGACTTTCGCGGGCAATTTCCAGTTGCCTAGTGACCGGCTGAAAGCCTCCGGTACGAGGGCAGACATGGAGGGATTACAGAACTACTGTGACGACTGCTACTCAAAAATCAATTGCAAGCGTTAGGCCACCTCGTTAGGACGACCTGATTGGTTTGTTTTTTCAAGGTCATACCAGAATGTAAGGGACGTGGTATTCCTAGCCAGACACAGACCGACGGCTATCCTATCAAATAGGAATAGTGAGAATATAGTGATAATATGAACATAAAAGCATTCTCAGAGCTTGTGATAGCGAGCGGGAAAGAATCTAGCAGTCCACGGAAAAGTGCTGTATCGTACAGAGACAGTCATGATCACTATCATCGTTGACAGCAACAGCACAGGGGGACACTGGCGCCTGGTCTAGATCCGGGGGGTGCCCAAACCCCCAACACTCAACCAGACAATCTGGATAGAAAAACGAACAGCATGGATTGATACCAGCCAACCGCCATATCGCTGAGTGTCTCGGTCAACCACAAACGCTGTTAGGTGGACCCCATCCTGGAGGGCAAACGTCACCAACAACATCCAAACTTTTGGTAACATCATTAATTTCCATCTACCATGTCAAGTTCTGTCCAACTCTAGGTTTCTCCCCCTCCCAATTAGACAAGGAAAACAGTGCTCCTCTGGGTAGCCAGTAACTCGGCATGCGTAGCACATGACTGCAGTTCGCAATGATCGATACATTCTCTGAGTAAAGTAACATCTGTTTCCGTCCCCCGGCTGCCAAATTGGGAAAGCCGGTGGTTCCAGCCAAATGCAACTCCGAAATCCCATCGATCAGGTGTCTCCAAAACCTCCCGTTACAAAATAGATGGTACTGAAACATGTGCGCACATCAAGTCAGGGTTATTAATATACCTGAGCTACGTCTTGCTTGAACACGCGACAGCCAGGAAAGCAGTTGATAGACCTATGATTTGTAACTGACCCGCGCGAGTTTACTGACCGGCAGGTCCGTGGTTCGAACCCGACCTCTCCCTATAGACTTCCCCTGTCTAGGCTTGGGCAACTTAGCAGTACCCTAGCCCTCGGGTGGTATGGCAGTTAGGCACCGAAATGGTTCTAGAGTTGGACAATTTGTCACCAACGATTCGGCAGCGTGAAGAAACAAGCAATCAAAGAAGAAAATACTCCCATGCGTGAACATGTCGCTCGAAACAAACAGCACACATATGAGGAATAGAAAAAGGGAGCAAAATGTCAAAAATAGATGGGTTTACGATAAACAAAAAAACTGACACACGCTCGCCACTGAGAGCCGTTCTGCACCAAGCACCAATTTTTCAGTTCCCGCCTTCAATGCGCAGCTATCTACCCCACCTCTCTAAATCATCGGTGAACGTAACCGTGGCAGCTACAACCATTGTGCGACAAGTACGCGGTTTCTTCCAGATGATAATGACGATTTAAGCCAAGCCCCCCAGATATGGAGCTTCAATGACCTGACCGAGAACAGTCCATCTTTCATGCATCCATGCCAAGTAATTTACTGATTTCTTAGACATTTTGGTCCACTCTCCGACCCGGTTCAGCTGCGAAAACAGCGCTCTGAAGAAGCCACTGTGTTGTCATCTGCAGTACATGCCCTATCATCCGCTTCGTCACAGCTTGGCTTTACTCACCCGCTGCCGTGAGATGTTTCATCGGAAGCTATGGTATAACATCGCGATGTCATTCTTCAGCTCACATCCGTATAGGTGTGTTGAACGAGTAGACGCGTTGCGCACTCAACCTTCCAAGGAGAGGATGACACCGCGCCGACATCAGAGGTGGCTGAAACTGACTAGATGTCACAACGCACAAAAAAAGGCTGTGTCCGGTCATATACGCTCACTCAGGTGGCGTGGGTAATGACCAATTGGAGCATCAGTTCTCAGCACGCCATTCGACACCCACATCACCTCTAAAAAAACTTACCTCAGCTTGGTAAAACACTTCGACGAGATCCTCATTCTCTTTTGCCCATTTTTTCACTCGCTTGAGGAATTCCGCTTCCCAAGTCTCTGCTTTCCGGACGAAATCGGATCGAGGATTCGGATGATTATTCACCACAAATGTCAGAACAACAGATGTCGATCCATTGTAGAAAGTACCTGAAAGAAAGGGACAAGAAAGTGACTGATTAGACAGAATTCTACTTCACTAATTTGCACCTCAAAAGGCTGAACATCGGCAAAACGATGCAGCTGAACGGGGTACCTGCGACTAAGCCAGACAAAATCACAGGTGGAACCGATAAATAATTGAGGTAAATAAGAATCGTTCAGCTAAAACAACCTTTCGGTGCCCAGCAGCCATGCCACCCGAAGGTTGCACGAAGGCTGGGATACTTTCAGTTTGTCCAAGCCAAGACAGGGTAAGTCGAGATGCAGAGGTCGGGTTCGAACCAGGGACCTTCCCGTCAGTAAGTTCAACCACTGAACAATCTCGAGCTTGGATTTCCTAACTGCGAATACGTATCTGGCCCGTTTCGTGCAGTCGTTTCTATATTGACCCTTCTTAGCCTTGTTAAGACAGCCTTCAACCCTGGGGTGATTCCTAAAACGAACGTAGTACGAACGTTCAGACGTATGGAAGTGCAATGATGTTATCCCCGTTCGGTCGGTCCAACTCATCTACACTGACAGCGTGTTGGTGAACGTAGTACGCGACACTCATCTGCAGGTGGACCGATCAGTGATTATGCCGTGACTGTTCGGTGGAAATGCCCTTTCACGTCGCGAAACTCTGTCGTTTTATCGCTGCTTAAAACTGTACAGTCGAGCATACACGAATCGGGGGTTTCCCCATTCAACTTGAATCCTGCTCAGTGAAATCGACCAGTTGAACAATACTAGTGTAACGGTGATACTACTGATGGGAGGCATGCGAGTAGTTTGTTTTCTTCTTGTAAATTCGCTTTTCGTCTCTTGAAAAGGGAGATTTATTGCGGAATTTGTGGAGTCGCTTGGTAGCACTTGCTTGGATTTGAGCAACAGTCAATGAATATCCAGGAAAGTTCTGGAAGACGTGTTGAAGGAGAAGGTGGATATTCAGTTCTGTAAATAAAATGCATATGAGAGTTTTGCTTCCCTGTCCAATAGTCTGTAACTGATCAGTTGGCTTTTTCTAATAAACAACTCCGCAACGAAGGCCTTCTTCCTTTTACTAGTACAGTGTACCAAAACCAGTTCGACCATGTCTGGAGAATTTGACTCGCGTCACCTGTGAGTAGCACGTCAGTGATATCAGCTCATTTCCACACAGGCATTTTCAGGGTTCACCTCTCAATTCAATTCAACTTCAGTTGATCAGATAAAATCCATACACTGTAGGTACATCGGTTCCACCTGGAATACTTTGGATCAACGGAAAGTGGAACAGCGTAAGGGATACAACCAAGGATTGTAGGCGATAACATGTTCAGTTTGTTCGGAAATCGGGTAACTATGCACTGGAGACCAAGATAGAAGAGCGTCACTGACTGCGCGATTGGGCCATTTCCACCAATGTCACTAATCACCGGGGTCCCCATCCATGGAGACGGCAGTTGCCCACCCGACTTAGATTACCGGTCAGTGTATTCATACTTGGTTACCGGGCCATACACTGTCCACCCATCGATCGCTTCCACTCAGCACCGGACTGGGTGGCAGACGGCATGCAGAGTATATTTTCAAACCAGCGTAACCTATGAAGTCCGAGTAACTCGTCCATTTTCCTAAAACCGGTGGTGTACCTCAGGATTGCGAATCAGATGTCCCTATCAGACACCGACGGTGAAACACAGAGAGCTTCCGTAAGTCCTCTGTACGTGGAGGCCACGTTTCCGGTCCGTAAAGCAGGATGGATCGAACTATCCTTGACAGACAAGAACTCAAATAGGCGCCATATGTGTCCGAGATCAGCAAAAGCTGGCCATTGCGATTCAACAAGTAATCTCGTCTATAGCTAGTCCATTGGAATCTAGACAACTTTCCAGGTAAAGAAATTTACAAACCACATCGATTGACCAGTCTACAAACATGAGGTATGCGTTCGGTCCCACCCAGTGAGAAATTTACACTTTGCACGTGTGTGGGTTCAAGTAGAACATAAGGTTGACGGAAACTCGGGGGCTACGCCTACCTGATGCTCCCCAAGAGGGGCAAACCCGGTCGTGGGCTGTCGAGGAGTTTTCAGCAACCTTGTGAGTAGTTTCCTTTATCAGAATATACCACGATATCTCGAATATCGTGCCAACTGAATTATGGGGCGATCTGTGTGCAGCACATTCGGTTGTAGAATATCATAAACGAGAGATTCAGTTGAGTCTTTCGTGAAAACCAAATTGGTTTGCGAATGAGTGTATTTCTCGAAAAGAGTCCACTGGAACTTACACAACTTCCCAGGCAAAGAAATTTACCCACCACATCGATTGACTGGTTTACAAACATGTAGTTTACGTTCGGTCCCACCCAGTCGGAAAGTTACACATTGCACGTGTGAAGCGAATATTAAATCGTGCGGCAGAATTACTGAGATCATTGAAAATGGTTCCTCTTTCTGAAGGAACAGAACGAGAGCGAGCAACGTCATCCGCATACCCGATTTCCGTGAGAGAACGTCCCGGGAGCATTTCGACTCCCGAGGTTTCAGAGGCAAGCACAGAAAGTTCAAGCAGCAAACCAGGGGGAAATGTGAGAGCGGATGGCCTTGTCTTACACCACTGAATGTGGTGAACTCAGGCGAGGGCTTGGCGTATACTTCTGGTTTGCTTCACCTCTAAAGCGAACCAGTGTGTCTCGTTCGGAATCGTCAAACCCCGAGATATCCTGCTTCTGGCATCCTCATATTTCTAACACGCCAGGTCTGCTTCCTCAGGAACTAATGTGGTACCGAGGAAGTGAGTAAACAACGTTTTAGCTCTGATCTGTCAATGATTACGATATTGATATTCAAACATGGCATCGTGATATCAAGACATCAATACGCGGTCGTTCCGTTTGGCGGAAACCGAATGTCATAGTGCCAGGAAAAGGTCGTTACGCAGGCGATGTGCAAAAGCCACGGGGAGCATGGGTTTTCATGCAAGTAGTATGGAACGATTCCTTAAGAATCATGGACAACCTATCACAGGTTTTGTCTTGTTTTCGGCTGAGCGTAACTGTGGGAAAAATCAAGTTTGGCCGTAAGCTACCAATCACGGTCGGAGGTTCAACGATCTCCTTCGCACCGTTCTGCGGCACGAAGCGGCTGCCTCAAGATTCCACTGTGAGTGGACTGTGACAACTGCTCAAAAACCAAAAACCACTTCAGGGGGGGTCGTCTGATGATGAGGGCCCCATCAACTCCCCAGTTTCGCCGAATCTGTCATTCTTAAAAATTTAAATAACAGTCTCCATCTTGTTTGTTGGTCTGTTCACCATGCTTGACAATTGGATCGGAAACGTTCCATCACTGATCGAGGTGACGTACGGGGTTGAGCCTTCATCCCATACGTCAATCGATCCAAGCCACGGTAACACGATAATGACCTCGTCGCATCTGGGCTGACTAGCAAAAATAAAAATGTGCCACGTGAACCGCTTGAAAACAAACCCACTAATTTGCTCCACGTTCTCTCGCTGAATTTTACTTATAATTGAAACAATACTGACGCGCAGAGTGCTGTCTGAACGAGATGAGGTAACCCGCAGAACACCTAGGGGACGAATGACATCAGTGGGCAGCAAGCCGCTTTGGCAGTCAACAAGAAATTCCACTTGTGAAATTCGATAAATACACACAAACTGAAACTGATACGCGTCACTAACAAATCACGCAAACAAATTTTCAGATCAATCCGAAAGAATCACGAGAGTTGCATCGCGTGATTGGTGTGAAGCAAATGACTGGTAGAAGCTGTAGGGCAGTCGAAGACAACGAAAAATAGGATAATGGTGCCCTGGATGATTGATTTTGTTATTTCCAACTACCGATGCAACAGATGGGGGGTTCTTTGATACAGATAAAAGTGGATATCACTGATGAACTGGCATCGGTCACAAGGTCGAATCAAATTGAAGGCTTCGACCACTAAGGCTTAGCTGAAGATCTAGTCAGAAGACAAAGCTATAGTTTGGAGGCGGGGGCGAGATGGCTCAGTGGTAAGAGCGCGAATTCACTGACCGAAGGGTCCATGGTTCAAAACCGACAACGGCATCTCGACTTCCACTGTGTGGGCTTGGGCAACCTGGCGGTCTCCTAGTCCTCGTGCTTCCTTCGGGTGGTATGGCAGTTAGGCACAGGAAGGATGTTACAGCTGAACGATTCGATTCCAGTTCGGGGATCTGGCTGAACCTCTAGCCAGTTGACTTGTGGGAGCAGGCGCACCAGCTGACAGACTAAGATTTGTTCTACCAAACACGAGTGTTTCATGGAGTTGCGAAGCAGGAGAGTGACCTTCAGCACTGTAGACGCGCACTCGGTTACCGCATTAAATCACTGACAGGCATGTAGACTTTTCGACCGAACATTTACCTTCTTGCAGTAGGACGGCGTTAGCCCCTGTGAGCTTATAAATAGCAAGCGTGAAACCAAGGACACAAGCAGGCCAGCGGTTCAATAAAAACCGCCAGGGTTACGAACAGACTAAACGACGAATAGACACCAAGTCGTTCAGCTGCAACACCCTTCCGGTGCCTGGCTGCCATGCCGCCTGAAGGAAGTAGGAGGGCTGGGATACTGCCAAGCCTTGACGGAGGAAAGCAGAAGTCGGGTTCGAACCACGGACCTTCCGGCCAGTAATAAATTCGCGCTCTAACCGGACAGAACACTGTATAAACCAGAGTTAGTGTGTTAAATAATCGAAGTTGAAAGATTTCGGAATGGAAACTTGGTTTAAGACTGATGATAAATTAGTCAACTAACCATTGAATCCACCGAAAGCCAGAGCGGGTAGGATAGGCATACCGGAGGCACCGAGACAACTCACGGAAGTGTTGGGGAAGGAACCTCCAATCGAGACCGGAGAGTGTGCGCAAAACATCATATGGTCCATATAGTCCGCCACAACTACGCCCCATTCTTCCATCTGAAATGGAGCAGTTAAAAGAAGCATCGTGATAACCAGTGCAATTCACGAGTGAACGCTAGCGAAGTGAGGGCGAGTCTCCTTCGTCTACGCCACAGTAACCCACTCACCGGATCAAGCAAAAGTCCAGCGGAGGACTTGCTATTCATGTGTGTATGCGGTTGGAGTAGTATGATATCTATTCAGAACCGTCTATTTCTTATGTTTCGCGCCACTGTGTAGCACTGGAACCGTACCGATGAATGATGCAGCATTAGAAATAGCGTTAGGACCAATATAGTCGGTCGAATTCGTCTTTCCAGTTGCTTCTCTCATGTGGAATATTATGTCTTAAGTAAAAACATGGTTTAGAATGGGAACGGAGGAAATTTCCTCTTAGCATACTAAAACTGTTGCCATGCAAAACAAGGTTGAGTTCGTCGTCCAAGAGGGCAAAACAATCACCCCGATCAAGTGGATTATAGTGCTGTTCGGAAGCCAGCCATCCCTAATACCCGAACATCAAACCATTTGGACGGATGTGTCACGAGCAGGCTATGGACCAATCGAAGATACCTTTGACTCGACGCTTCTCATCCCCTCCCGGAGATTCTGGCACGACCTCGTGGAACACTCTGTGGCTACCCTATAAATGAAGTTGTAATAATTTTCCTTTGTCTCCATAAAGGGCTGTATAGAGCTACCGTGCCTAGTGGGTGGAGCAGGAAGCCAAGAACCGATACGACTGTTCACCAAGTCACAACAAGTGCAAAACTCTTTGACGAGATAGCTTAGCGGTTAAGGCACGCGCTTACCGATCACAAAGTCCGTAGTTCAAACCCAACCTCGAAACCTCGACTGCTCTATACTACTATACCGGAAAGAACCATTCATCAACTCTGGTCCGCACCAGTTTACAGATGACTTCTCACGTTTGCAACAGTGAATCTTTGGTCACCCGCGTGCGCACCCGCGGTTTTTGCGCATGAATGATCGTTTATCTACAACACCCTGGCTGATCCACCCGAAAGTGTGACAACTCTTACCCCCGCTCGTTGACAAATACATAACAAATAATGCTAATCGTACAGCAGTAAAACCCTTTCGGTGCCCAGCTAAAATGCTACCTGGGGGAGCACGAGGGCTGACATACTGCCAGGTTGCCCAAGCCGAGATAGAGGAAGTTGAGATGGCCGGGGTTTGGGTTCGAACCGAGGACCTCCCGGTTAGTAAGCCCTCTCATTAACCATCAAGCTGTCTCGAGCTCAAAAACTTTGTCAACCGGTCGATGGCTTTGGGTGGGACGATCGATCAACAAACAACAGCGACAATCGTTCAGCTGTAGCACCCTTTCTGTACCTGGCTGCAATGCCACCTGAAGGAGACTCGAGGGTCGGATTGCCCGAACCTAGACAAAAGGAAGCTGCGGGAAGCTGCGTTCGATACACGGACCCTTCGGTTGGCCTTAACCACTGATCTATTTCAAACTCATCGGCCATTGCCTAAATACGTAAGGCATGTCTTCGAGAAATACACTCATTTGCAAATCAATTTGGTTTTCACGAAAAACGCAACTGAATCTCTTGTGTATGATGTTCTACAACTGAATGTGCTGCACACAGCCCGCCTCATGTTTGAGTTGGCACGATATTCGAGATATCACAGTATATTTTGATAAAGGAAACTACTCGCAAGGTTGCTGAAAACACTTCGACAGCCCACGACCGGTTTCGCGCGCCTACCTGATGAGCCCCAAGAAGGGCGTGGGCTGTCGAAGAGTTTTCAGCAACCTTGTGAGTAGTTTCTTTTACGCTAGACGTGTTCCGATCAGTGGATCTTCTAGCCACATTCGCGCGTTCCTCAAGGATGGAAAGTTTTCAAATTGATCTGATCTATCGACCTCGTTTAGAATGCACATCAGTGAAAGATGCTCAGATTGGGTACGTAGCAAATGGCCATTATTTAAAAAATCCTTGATTTCATTTGTCCGGTCTGAATGACCTCCAAAACGGTACCATGGAGTGGCATGTGACAGCGAGAGATTGCAAACAACCCGGCGGGGGAAAAGTTCCCTACAACTCGTGACTGGTTGGTTGGGGTGCAAGAACGAAACCAAGTCATCATTTTCAAATTTCTTCCAATGAACTGTGGCCAGGTCATATTTGACTCACTGCCCAATCAGGATAGCGTGACTGAACAGTGCCGCCGGGATTAGGCCAGGCAGTTAAAGGTTGTCCAGAAAGAACGAGGGATAAGGGTATGAAGCAGATCAGGTCAGCGAGAATAAACAAATTGGGGGGAGGTCCAGGCGAATGTCTGTACAGGTTATGCATGTGAACTAGCCAGCATTGTTCTTGACGCGGGGGGCGAGTTGGACCAAGTGGTATGACATTGATTATTAGCTATCAAAGTGATCTCGTAAGGAAGACCGCATTTGCGCCATTAAACCATAGTGTGGTGATACATTCGAAAAGTCTAAACTTTTTTCCTGGTCGCTGTATTGATGTTGCAGAGTTTTACTACAGAGTCCCAGAAGATATCTTGAACAATTTTTTTGCATTCAGTAATGCCAAATCAAAAAGTTTTCAACGTTTCTTGCAAGAAGATAGTAATTCACCGGAGTAAATTGAAAGTCCAAAGTTTACAAGGACTGCCTGCTTCGTTCCTCAAAAACTGCGCGGATTAGATATTAACTTGACATCAGTTTGCATCAGTCAGCTGTTAGGTGGTCACATGTTTGATATACTGCTCAAAATGAATTACAGGTAAGCGTTTGTGTTCGTTAGCTCACTGAAAAAATCGCTCCACAAGTATGATGGGGCGAGATGGCCCAAGCGGTTAGAGCGCGAGTTTACTGACCGGAAGGTCCGTGGTTCGAACCCGACCTCTGCCTCTCGACTTCCCCGGTCTAGGTTTGGGCAACTTGGCAGTACCCTAGCCCTTATGCTTCCTCCGTGTGGCATGGCAACTAGGCACCGAAAGGGTGCTACAGCTGAACGTTTTTTTAATGATTCCCAGTGGGAATGTGCAGGGCATCTCGGCTTTTCACCATAGACTGGCTTCATTTACACGGCGAAATTTCAGTTGAAAGAAAGTAGAAAGTCAAACGAGCCAACTCACAACACCCGGAGTCGGGAAATTCCAGTTCTAGTGAACAAAACTCAAAAACAAAAACTAAATAACGCATGTTGAGGAGTTAACAAGAGATGGAAGGCGATCAGACTGCAATGCATCACTCACCGTATAGTTGAAAACCACAGGGTCACCCTGGAAGTATTCAAGAGGACTGGTGATGGCACAATTCAGATTGTCCGGCTCTAGCGGCTTGAAGCAAATGTCCGCCAAGCTGATATTTTGGCGAAATTCTGAGGAATAGACTTTGAAATCTTTGAGTTCCAGCTGAAGCTCCAAAACCTGGCGATGGAGAGGCCGGAAAAAACAACAACATCACATCACTGATCAGAGGTTGGTCAGGCGAAAAAAAACAAGAACCGGGACACCAACATGTTAGACACGCTTCAGTTCCCAACTGGATAAAGTTCCACAGCTGGCGACTTCGAGAATAGCCCATAATTAGAAATTCAACCAAGCTACAGCGTATTAGCTTCGGAGATGCGATGAATGACTGCCGGTGGCGAAAACCTACACCAAACAGGCAAAGAGTTAAGAAACCAGTTGCTGAGTGATAAAGCCTTCTTGATATGGGAGTGAGAGAGGGAACTCAGTGGTTGAGACGAGAACTTTCTGATCGGAAGTACGTGGTTCGACCCAACCACCGGGGCAATTCGATCGCTCCTGTCTAGGCTTAGACGTATCTCAGCCGTCCTGCTTCCTGAACGGTTATTTACGACGGCGATAGGGTACATATGACCAGAGCTTTTTGAGACGGAAGGTGAGGTGACAGTGTTGAAGCAGTGATAAGAACAAAACACAGAGACAGAGTTTCGGAGGATGTTAGAACCCTCGTTTGAACGCTGAACTGATGAGCACGACTGACCGAAACGCCATCCAATGTCATCTGAACAGAGCTCAACGTGGCCAGTTAACTTCCACTGTATCCAAGGCTAACAAAACTAGATGAGGTTCACATCACGTGATCAAGTGACTGTCTCCGAATCCTATCCAGTCTAGGGGACTGAAACTCTTGGAAGGTGACTAGAATCAAGTAAGAAGACACCAACTCGGTGAATTGGTCGGCTGAGTGACTGAGGGGCTCCAGAAGCAGCTTATCGATCGTTTCCCGACCTATCTGAATCTACTAAGTACTTTTATTTTGAAACAGTATACAGGCAATCCTGCATGCTGCAAGCGATTTGCAGTTCCTCACTAAACTTTGCAAGAGAACAGCGAAAGTGCAACAAGATGAACTGTCGAACCTGCTCTCTGAAGATCTTGGAATGCACTCATTTGCTCAGTAATTGGGCTCTAACGGTAGATCCACTGAATGCTAGCTTAACCTTTCGTTTGTAATATCCTTTAAATGAATATGCACAAAAGCCACCTCATATTTCAGTTGGCACGATATTCGAGATGTCGCGGTATATTTTGGTAAAGGAGACTACTCACAAGGTTGCTGAAAACTCTTCGACAGCCCAGGACTGGTTTTGCCCTTCCTGGGGCTCATTAGGTAGGCGCAGTCCAATTTTTGTTCAAGTAGAACATAAGCTTGATGGAAACTAGGGGACTGCGGCTACCTGATGAGCAGGCCCCAAGAAGAGCGAAACCGGGTCGTGGGCTGTCGACGAATTTTCAGCAACCTGGTGAGTAGTCTCCTTCATGAACTTGGTAGGTTTTGTAAATATACGAAGAAAAGGTGGTTCCGAAGAGTTGCTTTCATCAGTTGTAGACAGAGGATGGGCATAGCCACAAACAGCAAACAATGAAACATAAACTAATACACGTTCCACCGGTCTGATAGGTCTTTAATCATGAGTTTCTAATCAGTACGTGTGTACTTCACGGAACGCTAAGATACAATCAAAAGTCGTGCTATCGTTGATGACGGAGCTTGTGTGATCGATTGTTGTTGTGTCCTTATCGCCGACGTGTTCGCAATCTTCAGTCTGAAGAGACTTTGATCCGTTTTGCGGACCCAAACGTCACCGCAAAAAAAACAAGATACACTGGTAAACGACAAATTAGGCACGAAGATCAACCGCACTCGGGTTGAAATGTGACCACCTTCTGGTTCGATTCAAGACTGATCTACCAGCCGTAAAAGTATTCGTCATCATATGATTTCCGTCGACCGGTTTGTGCCGTGAAGGCTGGTGCAACACCTATACAACCAGTAGAGTGCATCGATTTGTTTCTTTTTCTGAAGAAACGGTGCTGATTTGCGAAACCTTTGGCCGCATGTGAATAGTAATCGTATTGACTAACGATCATTGTGGATTGTACAATGGCGTCAGACTGCTAGGTTAGAATGTCGTTCAACTCGCCTACGACATCACATCCGGCATAAACAGACTGGACTTTATCGGGGCGCGGCGGTTTGCGTACTTCAGTGACCCAGTGAGCTCTACCCAAGAATGTGAATTTAACATCTTTCCTACCAATCTGGTTAGTGAAAAGATAAGCAGTTTTATGGCTCTCTAGGTCGGGGGTTGGAACAAATGGGCAGTTCGTTTCTTGATATTTAGACAAATCGAGTAGCCTCGCATCGAGAACAAACCGTTCAGCTGTAGCACCCTTCGGTGCCTACACATCTTTCCTACCAATCTGGTTAGTGAAAAGATAAGCAGTTTCATGGCTCTCTAGGTCGGGGGTTGAAACAAATGGCCAGTTCGTTTCTTGATATTTAGACAAATCGAGTAGCCTCGCATCGAGAACAAACCGTTCAGCTGCAGCACCCTTCCGGTACCTAAATGTCATGGCATCAGAAAGAATCATGAGGGCTGGGATACTGCCAAGTTCCTCAAGTGAGGTGGGGCTCGAACCACGGACCTTCCGCTCAGTGGATTCGCGCTCTAACCACTTGAGCCATCTCGCCCCTACGCATCGACAACAACTGTCTTGAGATCAAGTTTTTGGTTCAAAAGCTTCGACCGAGGACCCTAACCGTCCTCCTGTCTACGTTTCGCTTAAATGATTTTATTGCAGGCTTTAGAGTGAGAACTCTTAGGCAGATCGATCATTGAGCTAATAGTCTATCGATTGGTGTTGCTTCTCAGAAACTGGAATGAAGTACCCTCTATCTAGACGCTACAGACTGTGTTTTCTTGACTTTCTTCCCTCATGGTCATACGGGTATCATTCACGAGGATGATGACATCATCAGGGTGAAAGTGCACGTTTCAACGGGCGAGATGGCTCAAGTGGTTAGATCGCGAACTTACTGACCGGAAAGTCCGTGGTTCGAACCCGACCTCTGCCTCTCGACTTCCCATGTCTAGGCTTGGGCAACCTGGCAGTATCCCAGCCCTCGTGAAACCTTCAGGTGGCATGGCACCGAAAGCGTGCTACAGCTGAACGATTTTCAACGGGCGTGGTCGAACAATTCCGTTGGAGTCGATGACCTTATTGGGGGAGGGGGCAGGATCAGCGGACGTCTGCTAAGGCGGCCACCGACCCTGTCCTCAGAAGAGTCGTGGTACGAAGGTGTGCGTTTAACTCACCCCGCGTCTGGAGCTCCACCCTATTGAATGTCATCGACTTGATTCCTTAACATCCAAATCTGAATCAGCGGGGCATATCAACTAAACCAGTGCACATCAGATCGGTAGAACACGTGTTCGTGTCAAAACAGACACTTGGAAAATCTCACCTTATCAAGAAACTCTTTTCTCAGTGCTGGTCCGAAAATGGCGTCGTCTGCAGCAGGATACAGTCCGGCATGAGTAAAGTTCGACTGATTTTTCGGACGAATGATGATCTGTTCGGTTCGGTAGAACGGTCTGAAAGTAGATGACATGAAAGAGATTGATCGTGATGACTGTGTCCATGAGAAAGAATGACCCTTGTAAGAAACCTGCATGTAACTTTCCACTGTGACACACTCCCGGATTCTAGTGATGATACGCAGCTTGACGTCAGATTAGAAGAGCAGCCACTTGACCGTTATTGATCCAATGAACCTATGGATTACTGACCGACTGAATGGTACGTGGAAATGTGGCGAAGGAATGAAAACTAGTAATCGATGTCAATGGAGTTCCTGTTGTGAGCGTCTGGAGGTGTCTGGAGGTGCAGACAGCTCGAAATGTTTGCGGTAGCCTAGCACTAAGTCTCTTCTCCATCCACTTTTAGTCTTTTCGTCACAGTAAGGCCTTCAAATAAATTATGGATGTACGGCGGCGAAGCATCAATGCCGATAATGTCGATAGGTTGTCGATGACGATGGTGATGGTGATGATGAGGATGGTGATGATGATGATGACGATGGTGATGATGAGGAGGGTGATGATGATGGTGGTGATGATGATTATGATGATGATGATGATGATGATGGTGAATGGACGATCTCACGTCTTCGTGAGTTCTAGCAAGGAGAGTGTTCGTTCTAGAGGATGGATTGTGTGAATTAGTAGACAACTTCTCGAGATTGATAGGAAAATGTTTCCAATTGGACAGCCGTCAACTACCGTCGGTTAAAGACGACAAGGAGTGAAGATGAAATCGGGCAGCGTTTGTCGATAACAGCGTGGGCAAACGATATATGGATGACTTACGCAAAATTTTGGTCGAAATGGTTCTTCTCCTGCCGCGAGCGGGACTCTGGGCCAGACCAAAGCTCCACAGGGTTGGTGGTGACGTCGAATTTCGTGAGTCCAGCACATAACGCCCCGGAGATTAACAGTGATAACAAAAGAGTGATGTACGGGTGCCGAGCCACCGTCTGACCAAGAAGACTGAAGCCCTGCAATTGTCAGGATGGAAATAGAGAGGGGGAAGTCACAACGACAGACAGCAGGGTCGACGTGCTGAAGTGAGTCTGTAGGACCAAGTCTCGGGGAAAAGTCATCCACAGTGGTGTTCCTTACAATATGCTCCCCGTGCGCTACCATTAATGGGTGCGATTAGTTTCGATTTACACATGGTACTAAAATGTAAAGTTAACCAAGTCTATGGTGCCACAATAAATCGACAAAACAGAACCAGGAAGTGAGATAATCCCGAGGACTATCTGCAGAAAACGCTTAAGTCTGATCTTCATCTTTCGTGTCATGGAGGGCAAAAGCAACCGCATAGCTAAAGACGCGCGTACAAGATTACTTATAGTGCTGATCGTTCTCTTGCATGGTTTGTGATGGAGTATTTGTTTGGGGGGTACCGAGCAGCTGTAGCATCTTTTCGGTGCATAGCTGCCGTGCCACCCGATAGAAGCATCAGGGCTGGGAGAGTGCGGGGTTCGAACCACGGACCTTCCATTCAGTAAGTTCGCACCTTGACCACTGAGCTAACTCAAGGTCAGGCTGGACAAAGTTTGAATGAATCCAGTTCGTGTAAATCAGGCAACATGCTGCTTACCAAGAAAACCGTGGTGTTCGGCATCATAGATGATGGTGGAAAAGTTACGAGTTCGGAGAAGGACGAGGGGCTTCGAACTAGTCGGGGAGCCAGGACAGATGAGCTGCAAGATCCATTATGACCTCGAGATGATTCAGTGGTTAAGGCACGAACCTGGTGACCGGAATGTCCGTGGTTCGAACCCAACATCAGCTATTGTTCCTGTCTATTTTTGGGCCTGGTAGTATTTTAGCCCTCATGCTTCCTTCGGGTGGCGTGGCAGCTATGCGCCAGAAAGATGTCACAGCTGAAACTTAGATAGATGACGCTGTTTTTGAACGAATGCTTCCATATTAGCGGACTGATTGTGCAGGCATCGGTGGATGGTTGTAGCTCCGTTTTTCTCGTTTTCCTCGCAACGGATCCACGTCTGGTGTTGTGAGATTCACGTGACTATGATGAACGGAATCCTGCAGGCTCCAACCGCCTCGTACGTCAGAGTTTCGAGTCAAAGACCTCCCACAAAACCACCCTTCTTCGACATGCGCAACTGGGAAGTATCATTTACCCTTACAGATCGCTGTCGACATCTCCCTCATTCAGGTCCTTCTGGTTCACCTGACTGTCAATGACTTAACTGTTGCTAGTTATCCAAGCTTCTGCCAAGTCATATAAATGAAAACAAACCCCTATTAGACTCAAAAGATCTGTTTCAAATCGCTGTCTTCAACATCAGTGCTCTGTGTCGAATTAGTAGCCGTTTCGCAGACCTTGTTCTCTATTTCGATCGACATTTCAGAAACATGCGAACGAGATCCCAGTTCGGTTATGCACTTCAAAACTCTTGGAAAAAATCAACATTTCCCGCAGGTTACCATTCTGGTGTTTGATGATCCTGATTCAATGGCTCGTGTGAGTTGTGCTTGGCCTGGGGGACGGGTACGCTTTAATGAACTGGATTGCAGTTAGTAGTCTTTGCGCTGTTTGGTTGACTGGTTCAATCAAGATCAGTGGCACCTTGGCGTCGCAAATGGTGTTCGTTTTTTTTTAGCTTACAGTCCGACAGAAGATGGCTCTGAGGTTGAAAAAAAGCGGCTACTATCGAAGGTTGTCACGGTTGTTTCAATCAACCAGAGGTATAGATATCGTAGTTCTGGCGGGTGATACGAATGCCTAGGTCAGCTGACTCAATCCTGATGAAGGCCATCTCGGCGGCCGATTAGGAGTTGACGCCCACCGCACGGAAAATGTGGAACGAATTCGATCACGTGCTGAGAGTCAGCTCACACCGCGTGACTTGGAGGTCATCAAATTCAAACCAGTTGTGTACTCAGTCGGACAACGTAGCGATCAGCTACCGGTGAAGAGCCCTGATAACAGGTTGCCGTTTATTTTGGAGTATATCATTGGACGCTGAGCATGCGTTTTGCATGCTAGCTGATGCAACGCCATTCGGTTCGTCACCTGTAAAATGTTTCTGTAGCTAGATAATATCGGACTGAGTTGACCGAGAAGCTCCAGAAAGTCGACGCAAAGAATCGTGATCCAGATGAGGATTGAAGAACGCTCAGGGATTCCATGCTTACAAGCTTTAAAACTGTCTATTGAAGGCCGCCTCTCGACTTCCCCTGTCTAGGCTTCGACAATCTGGCAGTATCCCGGACCTCGTGCTTCCTTCGGGTGGCATGGCAGCTAGGCACCGAAAGGGTGCTACAGCTGAACAATTGGAGGTCGTTCGAAGTGGATATCTTTACTCCAAAGTGTCTGGAGTGAGGGGGGAAGACAATCGAATCTAGCACCTCAACAGTGATCTCCGTAATCAAATAAAGCGTAAGATCATCGTATGAACGCCACCAAAGCATCAGTCTAGTGGTCAGAGCTTCCAAAGTGTTCTCTGGTATTATGGTACACAGGTAGATTCGTCTTTGAGAGAGCTAGGCTGGCGAGAATCAAGCGGGGTGTCACCCGGTTGCATGCATCATAACTTCGCTTTGCGACAAAAGCTACAATTTCATCACTCCTTGCGACGACCAACGATGATCGTCTGTCTCGATCCAAAATCTGCTTTTGACTCCACTGATCGTCGCCCTTTCGGTGCTTAGCTGTCATGCCACCAGAAGGAGGCACGAGGTCTGGGTTACCGCCAGGTCGCCCAAGCCTAGACAGGGGAAGTCGAGAAGCACAGGTCGAGTTTGAACCACGGACCTTTCGGTCAGTAAATTCGCGCTCTAACCACTTGAGCCATCTCACCGCCATGTAGACAGAGGTATCGACAAAATAATGCGCATAAAGTCTGACCAGATTAAAAAACTCAGACTATTACGACCAAATCCGAGGAGACGTTTTGAGCTGACCATTGAGAATGGTTGCCCAACTATAAGCTTCGTCTCCCATGGATACCATACGACAAACCTCGACTCGATTTAAATGCTTGCATTGGTGTGTGACTGAATGATCCCACACTTAGTTAAACTGATTATTTACACCGATAGCGCCGCACGATTGACTTGTGACCATTGGAGAGGGGTAATGAAGCCGAAGACTCTCTCCCTCTTGGTCTGTTATTTCGGAAAGGTTTGACAGAACAAAAGGCTGGTAGAGCCAATTAGGTGGACCACCAGGTTGGCGGGCGAAGAACAGGAGGCACAAGGGCTGGGACACTACCAGGTCGCCCAAGCCTAGACAGGGGAAGTCGAGAGGCAGAGGTCGGGTTC